GTCGGAGGGACGGGTGGCGCCGGCGCCCGGCAGCCTCGTCTCTGTCGGCGCGCCCCAGGGCAGCTGTAGCTACATCGTAGCTCATCACCACCAGCGTGTGAATGACTGATTGTGTTGCGAAGCGCCTTGGGGGGTCGTGAACTCTAAAAAGGGGCCGTATAAATACAGGAAGTATCGTGGTTCTGGTTCATGTCCCGATTTGGACCAAGCTTGGTGGTCTCACATTAGTCTTTGGCGTCCAGAGGAGGTTCTGGTGGACTGGATGAGTCCTGCTGGGTCAGAACAAACATCAGCCCTCCCCCTGCTGTGCATCATGGGTAATGTAGTCATTTTGCTCCTGATCGTAGCAGCCGGGTCAGGGTGTAAACCCACAGAACCGAGGTTAGCAGCTGCAGATGTGGTGACCCCGTCTGAATGGAGCTAAAGTCGCCCCTAAAGTTAAATCTGGTTTCAGGTCAAGTTATGTAGAAAAATCTGAATGGATTTTACGTTAGTTCACCTCTAGGGGGCGGTGGAGCCACTGTCAGGTGAGACACACCTGCAGGCCGACGGCAGCAGATGTAGCAGCGGTTGGTGAAAGACAAGTTCACCACCAACTCGCCGCTTCATCTGCTGTCTGTCGCAGCTTCAGCGCCGCTCTCCCGGTCTGCCCGGCGATGTCGCTTTTAGATCCCAACAGGAAGTGTGGACGAAATGAGTCCCGCCCACGCCTTGACTCCCACTTTAAACGTAACGTTGTGGTCATTTGCAGCGTGAACATCGCCAGCTCTTTGTGCAAAGACCGAGTCCAACAGGAAGTTCTGTCGTCCTGAAGAGCACGGAGCAGTTTCCTGTGAACAGAAAGAGTCTTCACGATGTCTCGGATAATCAGACCCTTTAAACAGTACTCAGGTTAGCATTCGAACAGTGAACGGATGAGGAATCCTTCAAACATCAAATGAAGTAACTTTAAGAGACAGAGATGAACCGAGGAGAAGCGAAGATGGACCTGATTCTGATAAATCACGTGCTGTTTCATGTAAACTTTAGTCTAAGAGCGTCTTTTAGTCTTTTTCTGTAAATCCTGGACTCCTCTCACCTGCAACACGCTCGTTGCTGCACCTTTTTGGAGGAAGACAAGCCGGTTGAGCAGCTACAAGGTGGCATCAGAATACAAATAGGACAAAACGTTTGGTTTATTATGCTTTCTGCATCAAATCTCAGGAAACACTGATACTCTAAAGCACAGGTGTCAGACTCCAGTCCTCGAAGGCCGCCGTCCCACACGTTTTAGTGTTTTCCCACTTTCAATACACCTGATTTCAATCAGCAGGTGATTAACAGGCGTCTGGAGAGCCTGATGAGCTGCTGCACAGGTGAATTCAATTCAGTTCAATTAAATTTTATTTATAAAGCGCCAAATCACGACAAGAGTCGTCTCAAGGCACTTCACATAATAAACATTCCAGTTCAGGTCAGTTCATTAAGCCAATCAGAAATAATGTTTCCTATATAAGGAACCCAGCAAACTGCATCAAGTCACTGACTAGTGTCTTGACTAGTGTCTAGTGTCAGTGACTATACAGCAATCCTCATACTAAGCAAGCATGCAGCGACAGTGGAGAGGAAAACTCCCTTTTAACAGGAAGAAACCTCCAGAGAATCCTGGCTCAGTATAAGCAGCCATCCTCCACGACTCACTGAATGAACTGTGTTGGAACAGGGAAACAACAAAAAGATGCAGTATAGCGGCCCTCGAGGACGACGCTGACGCCGCTGCTCTAAAGTTAAAAGATGGCGGGGTGTGGTACGTGTAGGTAGTACTGGTACTTATGTACAATCACTAAAGTAATAAGAGTAATAAGTACCAGATGATGATAAGTTAAACTATAAGGGAAAACTAACTGAAGCCATGATGGCTGATTCACGGACGTGCTTAGAGAAGCCCCGCCTACTCACCGGGTTAGTCGTTGGGTTTTTTAGGCTTCAAATAACTGATCACAATAAAATGTGTTAGAATCAAAGAGCCAGTCTGATCCCCAAGCAGAAACATGACAGCTACACGAGTCAACACCTACAAATATTACACACAGTTTGATTTTATTTAAAAAAGCATCTCATTCATTTCAGTGAGGGAGGCGGGGCTTAGAACATGCACTGAATCCAGCCACTAGGGGGCGTTTGGTCCTTCTTGTCTCATCAGATTCGTAGATTCTTACCTGTTGGCAAATAAAACGAGGTTTTGTTTAAAGAACAAACTGAAATGAAAGATAAATGTCGACACGAATGTCATCTTTCAGACGTTGTTCGTGTAAAAATCAGGAGTTTGTCTGTAAATCTCTAAGTTCAGGTTAAGTTCATTTGAACTCAAAATTCAATATTTTCATTAACACAAAACTTCTTAACCACTTAAAGGTGTAAGATTAACATTTAGAAAACAACCTAAATTAATAAGTTATAACCTTTTAATTACATTTAATATTTTACCTGATTGTTATCAGGCTCTCATTCATCTCGTACATCTGTGACCACGAAGGAACGTTTAAACGGTTCTCAACCACAAAACTAAAGCATAGCCTAATGAGCTTTCATCGTTCGGACCTCCTAACCTCAACGAAACAGCGGATTCACAACCAGAGTTTACATGTAGGTGGAGCCTTATCTGCTGCCCCTCCCCTACATGATAAACCCCGCCTCCTACTGTAAGCCCCACCCTTGTGTCTTCTGCTACAAAACAAACATAAGAAAGCTACTAGGCGTGACTCTGGATGTTCGTGTTCTACGCTGATCGTTCTGGTTGTCTGTCCTTCCTGCTTTTTACTTGTAAGCTTTTGCAAATTCTGACTGTTTGATGTTGTTTCTGTGTAAAATTAGAGTTTGTGACATAAATAAATCGGTGTTGTGAATTACAGCATCCTGTTGTGTTTTAGACTCTTTATTTAATCATTTATTATCCTCGCTTACATGCTAGCATCCCGAACAGCCTCTGTTCAGAGCATGGACGTAATTTTCACTTTAGAAGTGGGGGGGGCACGGGGGTTGGGGGTGGGGGTGGGGGGAGGAATGGGAAACAGGCTACAACACAAACGGTTGTTTTCCGCTTGGTCCTAGAGCTCAACCAGTGTCAGTTTAATATAGTGTACTATTGTTTTTGGATGGTAAAAAGTGCAGGGGTCAAAACTTGACTTTGGAAAAAGTGGGGGGGACATGTCCCCCCCCCCCCCCCCCCCCAAAAAAAAACTTACGTCCATGGTTCAGAGAAAAGGAGTAGATGACCTTCAGGACGGGTGTGCTAACCCCTAGTCTGGCCCAGTGGTGTCTCTACATTTGGGGACAATAGAAACAGTTACTGTGTGAAATGTGAATTTTTCATATTTCTTTACAGTTCCAAGTAGCTGAAGTCAACATTTCCTCACACTGGTAGAAAAGTATTGCATTAGAAGACAGATACATTTATTTTAGTCGACTAAAAACAGATTAAAACTCAAACAAAGTGGATGACTAAACTGTGACTAAAATAAAAATGAATTTTCGTCAAACGACTAAAGGAAGATGTTTTGTCTGAATGAACACTGCTGGACTATTGCAGTGGTCTTCTACCTGATCTCCCCAGAGCAGCTGCAGCTTATTCAGAACTCTGCTGCCAGTCTAAGAAGAACCAAGAGAACCGAGCACATCACCCCTGTTCTTCAATCTCTACACTGGTTCCCTAGCCTGGTCTAGTTCACTAGGCTACTGGTTACCAGCCAAGTACAGAATCCACTTCAAGGTGCTTCTACTAGTCTGTAAATCTCTCAGTGGCATGGGGCCAATGCACACGTTGGATCTCCTTCCAGGATCTACGCCCAGCAGGGCTGTCCTTGGGAAGCAGTCAGCTGGTAAAGGAATGTTTCTGATGCTGCACCTTCTGCGCTGTAACTGCTCACCCTGTTGTCGTTTATCTGTCTGTTCAATCTGAACATCTACATTTCTGTTAGATTTACCGTTTTGATGTTCTTGCTTCTGGAAAGCACTTTGAATTGCCTTTGTGTGTGAAATGTGCAACACAAGCAAAGCTGCCCTGCTGCTGACCTCGGAGATGATCTACTCGCAGCGGCGGAGCAGCGGCGTGGGATTGTTTACGTTTAAAGCATTTGTACTCAGAGTGAGTCGCAGCGGCGTGACTTTATTCAGACTCACTGATGGAGGATGAGTCATGGTGTTTGGTTTTAAACTCTGAGGATTTTAGTTTCTGATCAAACGTCTGTAGATGTTCAGCAGATGAGGAGAAAATCATGTTTCTGATGCCTGATGGATAAATCTCAATCAGTAACTCATATCCTGTCTGGACTGGTTCAGGTGCAGCGTCAGAAGCTCTCCAGACGTTCTGAAGGTCTAACTGAGAGATGGTTTGAGGTGTTTAGAGCAACGTCCAACTGACGTGACCGCCCTACCCACTCTGTCACAGTCGTTGTGCCCTTGGGCAAGACACTTAACCCCCCACCTGCTGGTGGTAGTCGGAGGGACCTTGGGGGGTTTTAGCACTCATACAGGCCAGTTACCAGTGACTGGAGCTCCAGCTCCATCTGGTGGACAAACAAAGCAGAGAATAATTATTTCTCACAAAATCTGAGTAAACAAACAAAAATAAAGCTTCTGCAACGTTTTGGAATGTTTTAAAATGTCGTGTTTCAGTCAGAAGTTTCGGTTTCGTTCTGCAGAAAGACGATTTGGGATTTCTGTGCCATACTTCTACTTTCAACGGCTTATCTGGAGTCGGGTCCCGGGGGCAGCAGCCTGAGCTGAGAGGCCCAGACTTCCCTCTCCCCAGCCACCTGGGCCAGCTCCTCCGGGGGAATCCCAAGGCGTTCCCTGGCCAGCCGAGAGACTCCGGCGTGTCCTGGGTCTCCCCTTGGGTCTCCTCCCGGTTGGACGTGCCCATAAAACCTCACCAGGGAGGCGTCCAGGAGGCATCCTGACCAGATGCCCGAGCCACCTCAACTGGCTCCTCTCGATGTGGAGGAGCAGCGGGTCTACTCCGA